GTCAGTTTGATATAAGTTGAGATTCTCTTTGGCTGCCGCTGCAATTAGAGCTCGAATAGTGTCATAGAGACACACTGGTCTAAATGTGTCTTCGTAGTCGATATTCACTGTCTGCTGATCCTTTTGCTACTAAACAGGCCTTGAATTTCTCGATTGAGGCATCGGGATTTGTATTCACTCTGTAAACCCAGCGATTGTCGAGGATTTTACGTCTGTTATGTGGCTCAAGAAGTTGCCACGTTCCATGTTTGGCATGCGAAGCCATTTCTTCGTCCATGGCTCATTTCCAGTCGGCATAGTTAGGAGACTTCGTTGCTTCGTCATATATTTTAGGCTCTTCCAACTTCAGAATGCTGTTATACATGTCGTAGTCATTAAATCTGACAGGCTGTTGGATAGCTAAACGGTCTTGCAATATATGCGCAGTCATCTGTGTTAGTTCATCTTCATCAGTGCGCAGATCACCAGCCCCCTGTGTGTCTGCATCATCGTGTGCATCTTCCAAAATAAACTTCATACCGCTTGGTAGACCGGCGTTAGATGCTAATTTTGAAGGTTGGGAAGTAGGGCCAATTTGATGTTCATTGAACACTACATTGGCACTTTTTATCGTATCAGTCCTTGATGGTATGAAAATGCGATACCCATCGTCATCACAATAACCAACCAAATAGCCCTTTATAGCCTTGTCATCTAATTTACCGCTGTTGACATTTGTTACATGTACAAATGCAGCTGATCCAAAAACTCGAAACTCGAATTTTGTTAATTGCCGGCTTGCGTCCAAACCATTCCTCAAATGGAGATTTTCCCGTAGTTTTACTTTGTCCGGTTCGATTGAGAACGTACACAGCTGTAGATGCTGCTTCTGCCCATAAGAACTGTGGTACACCTGAATCCTTGATCATAGTGCAAACTGCATTCATTATTGTACAATTCTCTCTTTCAACTAATCCGTTTTGTTTTGGTATATATGGCATAGTGATTCGCAGCTTGATGCCTGCGTCATCAGTCAGCTTCACCAATTTATCATTGTCAAACTGACAACCACCATCTGTGACCAGTTCTTTTACATTTATACCATCTTTGTTGGTTCGAACAAGAAACTGTTTGATTTTATCCACAGCCTCGTCTCTTTATGTCTCAGAAATTCTACATGTTGAAACTTAGAGTAATTGTCCTTAATCACTAACATGTACTTCTTTCCACCTCTTGATAAGGCTGGCAATTTGAATAAGTCTACAAGTATTATCACACCAGACTTTTGTGTTTTTAATCGTTTTGATTTAAATGTTCGTCGACTTTGTTTACCGTACTCACATGGCTCACAAAACAGTCCATCATTGATAAAATCTATACCATTTTGGTGCAAGTACTGTTTCACATACTATATTCCTTGATGCCCAAGTCGTCTTCATTTTTTTGTCGTTGTCTTCATTGCCGTCTCAGGAAAAGGAGTCGTCATTTCGTTTTCAACCAAGTAGGCTGCAGCAGCAGAACCCCCTTGTGGTTTGACTGGTTTTGCATGTAGTTCAAAGAGTCCATTTGATGAACATGGGGCTTCTAAAAGTATATTATCTGGGGTCTCCTTGCGAAAGAAACGACAAATCATATCGTCTGAATCACCAAAGTTTGAGATTCCTTGCTTCATTGCCTTTGAGGCTGATAACAAATTTTTGCCAATTTCTGGTGCGTACAGTACCAGCTCAATAGATTTTCGTACATTTCCAACCATCGCACACATGTCAATGTCCCCACAGCCATATGCTGGTATTGTCTGTTTGTTACCGACTGTGATTTCTGCTTGTTTGTCAAAGTGACGGTACATCTTGAAATAGTCGGCTGAATTTCTAATGTGTGCTGTAGCTCCATAGTCTTTAAGCCACATATTTCAGCCGCAATCATCTTCTTGACAAGCATACGCACTGCACTGAGTATTTGCAAAGAAGGTTTCTGTTTTGCTATTCGTCGGGTTGGCTTGTCAAGAAAAACTGGGCAAAATTTACCAATGTGCCCGGGTTTATTACAACGAAAACAGATGCCATTGAAACCTTTTACCCTATCACTGGTCTTAGTAAGTCTGTTCGTCATTTTGGCATTATTTGTTGTCAAGGAGTGGGATTGGTTGACCATCTAAGGTTTTTACCACCCTTCTTCCATTTCTTTCCACTATGTTTTGCACTATAATTAGCATTTGCCACAAATGTCATTGTACTTTCGTTTCTAAGCTCTTGATTTCTTCTTTGAAGCCGCATGTTGATCTGTTCGATCAGTTTTTCAGGTGACTTTTCCGTCTTTGGCATTGAGTCCCACTGTGATTTGAACTCTATATATTCGTCATCAGGAAGAATAGATAAGATTCACGGTTCTAGCAAGTTCTGCGGCAACGTTCCTTCGCCGCTCAACTCTTACTCGCGTTGAAGATCCACCCACAGTGTACATAAACATGCGAGTAATTGCATTATACTTTCTCAATCTGAAAAGTGAAAACTGTTGCAGAAGTGTGTCCAATTTCACACTTGACACCTTCTCAAAATTACTTAATAACTCATTCCATATCGCTAGTGCAGAATTACCATGCATACAGATCAAATTTAACACATTCAGTGATACATTTGTGCGAATGATAACAGCAGCTTTTGCATTCGCCTTTGCAGCTTCGTTGTACTCATGTATCGTTTTTTCATTTGCGCTTTCTGCCGGAGCTTTTGGCTTGATAAGGGAATTATTGAAGATGCCTGCACAATCATTGAGTGCAAATAAAGAGTTTATTTCAAATTTCCAATCAGTCCAGTTGGATAAACCTTCCAATTTGGAACACTGAACAAAATTTTTAGCTTCAATATTACGTCGTCATTAACCAGGAAATATGCAGCAAAAATAAAAGGTTATCGGTACACGTAGCATCTACCTACACACTGTTCAGGTGGAAGTGTTGAAATCGAAAATGAAAGTGAAAAAATCCGTGATTCAAATATGTCAACATAGCCATTGTTAATTTATTTGCGCAGTTAAACATCGCTAAAGCCCATAACCTGTTATAAAATTAACAAACAGAGTGATGGCTAATTGAATTTTGGACTTTATTAACAAAAAAAGTAAGGAGAAGTTTACGTACATCTTATTGTTTACATGACAGCTTTTAGAATGACAAAAATAATAGTGATACCAGATGCATAAAACAGTTTAAAACAGTGATGCCACTGAAAACTTCACATGATATTAATTAAATGCTCGATTCTCAACAACAAATTTAATTAATATATTAATTAAATGCTCGATTCTCAACAACAAATTTAATTAATATCATCAATAATTTAAAAAAATAGCTATTCATATAGTATAAATAAATATTTATTTCACATCACTGAGGGGAAAAATTTCATATAATTAATTTGTAGTAAAAATTTATTTGAAATTTAAGGTTAAAAATAGCTGTGGCAATTCACTGTAACAAAAATCCATAAACCAGATTTGGCGTTCTTATCGCTCAAAAAAAGATGCCAAATTTCAAAATGTGAAAATATGTAAATTCGTGTATATCTTAGAAAATTTTGAATAAAAACTCTCATTTTTTGCAGGTATGCTTAGCAATACACCTACTTTAAGATGATGGTAAAAATTCTATCGGTTATAATTCAAAATATTTTTCAAAAAATTTATAAATTTTTTTTAAAAATAGAAATTTTAAAAATGAATCATAAAAATAGCTAAATTTTATTTGGAATGAACCTAAATTTTGAGATGTGAAAGGACGAATAAAAAAAGTTTAATAAAAAAGAGAGATTAATAAATATATGTGAGTAGAATAATGTGTAATAGCCTAGAAATCTCCCAGACTCCGAGTTCACAGATTACCAATTCAATTAACATTGAGGACCTAAAATTTTGAGAGCTAATATTTTAAAAACTACTCGTGCGAATTTTACAAAACTTGGCAGCCTGGCATAATTTGAGTCGTAGAATCAAAATATGTAAAACAATTGGTATGTTATTTCAAAAAAAGAGGGGGAAAAAAAAAAACAGAATCTTCGACATTTGGAATTAGTGGGTTAGAAGAGTGCTAAAAGAATGGTCTTAATATTTTAATATTTTCTGCTTGTTATATATATATATTTATATATGTATGAAAATTTGTTGCATTGATTAATGTAGAAATATGTAAATAGTAACTAATATGTCTGTGTATTAAACATAATTATAAAGCTATCTACTATTAGTAATATCCAAATTAAATAGTATTTTAAATAAAAAGTACTAAGAGGAATTTAGTTATTTGAGTAGAATGTTACCTATTTGGTTATAATATTATTTAATGATGCTAAACTGTTAAAGAAAAAAGCAATAATCCTGAATTTTAAAACTGTGTTTGTATCCTTTTTTTAAAAAAATACATAATTTTAATAATATATTCTAAACCTAAAACCAACAATATTGTAAAATCATAAAAAATGAAATAAAAATACAGTCTGTACTTTGTGAAGGCTTTCTAAAATAACAAAATTTATCAGAGGTAATTATATGAAATGCTTGATAGGACTTGTTTTTCATGGAAGACTATCAATATCATTAGATCTATAAATTAGGTCACAGAGGTTTTCAAAACATTGCATTTGTTTAAGTTTGCTTTCATTTCTCAGTTCAATAAAATATTTTGATTTTTATTGGCTATATTGTCTTTTTTTTGGGGGGGAAGAGTTTGTTTATCTATTTCTGTTGTGTTTATATATTTTCCTGCTATTTAAAATTGAAATGATGGGCAAAAAAATGAAGCATTTAAATTAAATTGTTCTTGTATCGCTGTATAATTAAATGCTATTGTGCATTCAAAAAATTTGTGTATCTGTATTTAATTATAACTTGTATTATTATTTAATGTGGGAATTTGTTTAATATGTTTCAAAGCAATATGTTAATGCTTTATTGAAAGGAAAAACATAAATGATTCATCCAAAAACTTGTAGGTAATATAATTCTTTTTGTTTTTTTTAATCTTGTAGATATGTTTCTCGTTTTCCATTCATGAAAATAGATGAAGTCGCTAAAGTTGTTCCTTCTAGGATAACTGCAATGGCACTAAACCCTTTACCAGACAGAATTATTGTCACTGCTGCAGATGTATCTGGAAATATGAGCTTTTGGAAAGTTGTAAGTTATAAATTATTTTATCTAATTTTTAAAAGTATATTGTGTATTTAAAAAATATGTTAAAATATATTACAAGAGGAGCTTCATTTACTAATTTATACAGTTCAGAGTAATATGGGTACTGTTAATCAGGGTAAAAATTTATTTAAATAAATTTTTATATTGGTTAATGAAATTAAATATGTACGGTCGGTTACTAATAATAAAGCTTAATAAAGGCCTAAATTTATATTAAATATTTGATAATAAAAATATTTAAATTTATGAACTTGTATATGTTAAAATTAATGGTTGAAGAATTATTCAATACTCAAATCATTATTTATTTGATTTTAATTGTAACTGCTGTAACAACTGAAATTTCTCGTTTATTGACTTCCTAAGTTTATAAGTGCCCATTTTTAGGATATGTATAACATAATCAATGTATTAATAATCTGAATTGCTTTAAATATTCATATTTAATGCTGCTGATAATTTTCAAACTACTGTAATGTTTTCATTATGGAATATTTTCTTGTTAAACGAAGCATATTTGACTAAATCTCCTCAAATGGCTGGACACTTCCTCTTCAAGCATTTATCAGAAACAGTCTAACCCATTGGTCATTGAGGCATTTCATCACCGGGAGGTGTTGCTCAAGGTGCAAAACAAGGACTTAATTAAGAGATAAAAAACAATGTTTTGTATAAATATTTTGGCCCGGTGGCGCACTGGCTAGCGCATCGTGCAGTGGCACCACGGGTTCAATATCCCCTTCATCCCTTGAGAGGGTTGATAAAATGAGTAAGTTTGCTTGGGGGACTAAACACTGGGGGTCCTGCAACAAGCAGACCACTTGTCCGGGCAATATGCACAGGCACCCCGAGGCCCACGGTCTAGAGAGCAGATATCAGGGCACTGCTTGCTATGGCTCTTTAAGAGCTTTTTGTGTCGCTGAGTTTAGTTTAATTTTGCAAAAATGTTGAGCTATAAATAGATATACAAATACTTGGTTTTATTCATGTTAATTGATTGTATGTAATCTTTTATTCATGTTAATTGATTGTATGTAATCATTAATGTAAAATCTTAAAATTAAAAAAAATATATATATATTTCTTATTTAGAATATAGTTTTTCACTTCTGTAAAAAAAAAAAAAAAAAAAAAAAAAAAAAAAAAAACTTCTTCCTAGATTATTTCCTCTGATAATTTTATATTCAGTGTATGCCTTTTACCAGGTATGTGTATATTCGCTAAAAACCTTAATCTGTAAGTAAAATTGGTGGGGTTAGCTGTTTGAAAATGGCAGAGCACACAGTGGCTGTCTGTCTAAGGAGAGAGATATACCTGTGTGGAAGACTTTCTAAGAGAAACTGGCTCATAGTTGCATTACAAATATGGAAAACCGTGAAAATGAACTATGCAGCCTTCCTGTTCACCTTGGTTCAAACCCAGGCCGAATTATCAGTCTTAATTGCTTGGCTAAGAAACTGTTGATAGAAATTATCTTAGTAAATAATAGTAATACTCTTGGCATTGTTTTCAAATAATTTTAATGCGACAAAATAATTATAACATGAATATTATTTTAAATGTTCTGTCTGTTAGCTGTTTCTTTTAATTATCCAGTCATAGTTTCATTACCTTGATAAAAAGGACATTTCTTAATTTTGCTATAGAAATTTGTTCTTTCTTTGGTGCTGCTTTCTATAATCTCATTATGTCTTTTTTTCAATGTAGTAATGCTTGTCTTGGTGTTTAGGAGATGTATTCAGAAGCAACAGACTTCTTCCCAAAAAACAGTATGCCGTATTTAAAATATATATATTTAACATTTGCGGAGATATTAAAAATGAAGGTTAAAACTCGTAGCTACAATGCACCTTTCACATTCAGGTAATCTCACTCAGTTTACATCGTAACCAGTTTTATATAAGAATGCTGCATTCTGAAATTTGCCTCTATGATGCCACGCTGTAGGTATGTAGGGGCTATACGTGCAAAATACCACAAACATGGCCTGCACACATATCATTATCCCCAATTTTTTTTGAACGTCTGAAATTAAATTAATTCAATGGCTTTTCTTCAGAAGATTTTGCTGGAATGTACACTGAAGAGCCATTATATTATGACCACTCTCCAGCTATAACAATGGGCTCACCCATGAACAAAACAACTGCACACGCATGGCTGATGTTGGAGTATATTAAGCGGCTTTGCATTGTCTTTCCAAACATAGTGCGATTAGTGATATGATGGGAGAAGCAGCGGATTTATCAGACATCGATAATGGTCAAATCATTATGGCTTGGCGACTGGGAATATCAGTATCAGAAATGGCGCATTTAGCGGGTTGTTCTTGTGCAGTTGTTGTGAGCACATATCAAAAAGGATGTATGGATGGTGAAAAGACAAGTCGCCAGCCAGCAGTGTGTCCTCGATGGCATATTGATTCCAGAGGAAAGCAGAGATCGCTATGCATTGTTTGCTATAGCCAAAGAGCTACAACAGTGGCGGCCCATACAGTGTTTCTCAACACACTGTGCAGCGTACATTGCTGCATATGGACCTATGCAGCCAGAGGCCAAAGCATGTTCTTGTGCTGACGACAGTCATCGCCAGCTGTGTCTGCAGTGGGCGAAGAAACATCAGAACTGGACATTGGAAGAATGGAAGAAAGTTACGTGGCTCGACGAGTCATGTTTTCTGGTCCATCACATCGATGGGCATGTGCTGATATGCCAATTTTGAAATGAAACCCTGGCTCCCGGATGCAGAGTTGGACAGAGACAAGCTGGTGGCGGAGGTATTATGATGTGGGCAATGTTTTCATGGAGCACATTAGGGCCCATAATCCCTACAGAGCAATCCCTGACACTATGTGAACATCGCTATAGACCAGGTTCACCCATTCATGATAACAATATTTCCGGCGGGGATGGAAATATTAACAGGATAATGCACAGTGTCATAAGGCTTGAATCGTCAGGGAGTGTTTCGAGGAACATTCCAGTGACTTTCAAGTTGTGTCTTGGCCTCCAAATTTGCCTGACATTAATCCAATAGAGCATTTGTGGTCCCACCTGGAAATCCAAATTCGTGTTGCCACCTTTTTTTTCCTCGAAATGTGTGGGAATTGCAGGACCAGTTGGTGAGCGATGGGTACCAGGCACATCAGACTACCTATCAGCACTTTATGAAGTCAATGCCATGCCAGGTGCTGACAGTTTTGAGGCTAATGGTTGCTGTACATGTTATTAACAGGCTGGTCATAATGTAATCGCCCTATGGTGTATATAAAAGATATACATATTTTTAATTCATTTTCTTTGCCATGGTGGAGTTCAATTCTTTAACACTGTTAATGCAAAGAATGAATATCTCTTTATGTCTTTGTATGAAGTAAAGGAAGTATTATAATCGTGAATAATTTCAGATATTATATTTTAATCGAAATATCCATTTTGACCATTTCTCAATCCATTTGGTACCTTTTTTTTCGTTATGCCTGTATATGTAGGGACAATAAAGGAACTTTTTTTTTTTTTTTTTTTTTTTTTTTTCCAAAAGAGACTGTAAAATATATTCAAAAGGGATTTTTTTAATGTCATCTATTTAGTCAAAAGTCTTAATTCGGACATCTATAATCTGGAATGATCTATAATCCGGACCTCAAAGCTGCAAACTTTCTGCGCATGCGTAAACACATTAATGCATTTACGCATGCGCGTAATACTTTTACGCATGCACATATGCGTTTACTCTTGTGCATAATAAGTTTACGCGTGCGCGTTTAATGTATAACGGGCGATATAAGCTAAGCTAAAATTATCTATTTCAGTTAATGTTGCAGATTGTGTTGTTCCTTAACCTTCTAATTGGATCTGGTTTATTATTTTTTGCAGACTGTTAGAGCAATTTTATAAAAATTAAGCTTGAACTTTCGATTATGTCAAAAAGAGTTTCTAATTCTGGAGCTGCCAAAGGATCTACAAAGCCAAAGCATGTTTCGATGTCCATCAAATAAAAAGTGGAATGGCTTCAAAAAATGGATAAAGGCATATCCTTTGTTTCTCTAATTCCGAAATATGTTTATCAATTTCACGCTGTTGTACGTGGGGCGGGTGGAAACGTCGTGGTGCACAATGAACTGAAGTTGATCTGTCAGCACTATCCTTATCTTCAGGGCAGATGTTTTTATTTTATTCCACTTATAATTCCTTACTAAATGTAGTATTTCATCTCGATGTACTCCGTCTTAGATATCATTTAAATCAAATTCCTCGTCATTATAAATATCACGAATACACATCAAATAGTTTTCTGGTTGCAATTTTCTAATTTCGACTATGCATAATGTATGCTTTACGCATGCGCGCATTGAAGGAAATGCTTAATAAAGTAAACAAATAAATATTAAGCTTTTTTTTTTTTTGTAAATTTTGATACCCTTTAGATCATAATTGCTCTTTATTTCATAAATTATGGTTTCATATTTTTAATTTTATAATTTCTGCATGCCATCTCACCAGATTTAAATTGATGATCTATAATCTGGAAAAACTGATAATCCTGAATCAGTGAAGTTCCGACGAGTCCGGATTAAAGTCTTTTGACTGTATGTTCATACATATGCATGTAGTATCTTGCGTGACTCAAAAACGATTAGCCATATAACATTGAAACTTTGTATATAGGACTGCTGTAATATCTAGTTGTAAATCTCCTTTTTTTTTTATGATAATCAGCAGTACTAAACATATACCCACTACTTTACCTGACCTTTATTTTTGTAATTTTTAGTCATACTCGTATACATCCAATTGTTGAAGTATTTTAAATAATGAAAATAATTCATGTTTTGGCAATTTGATGTTAAAAAAATAATAATTTTGGACTAATAACAAAATCTAACTACATATATAATAATAGTTTCTATATTAGTCTAACAATATTTGATATCAGTTTATTATTGTTCTAAAAAGAATATTTAATAGATCGTACAAGGAAGT